TTTGCATTAAAATACATTGTAGTCCCCTTTTACATATCCGAAAAGATTGTTACAGACAAACGTGGCAATTTTATTACATAGTTTAATATGTTTTAGAAATAACTCTGAGTTTGTAACTCTAATCAGAGGTCTAGAAATATACTCAAACAATTTGTAATACCATCTGCGATAAACAATCACCAAATATTCCTGAAATATGCACTCTTATTGGAATCTAAACAGAATTTATGTGAGATATACAAATCTCCAAATTGGGTAATCATATTTTGGACTTCCTGTAAAATGTACATGGAAGAACTGAATATAAATATGATTTTCATTGGTCATTTTAAAATTACAAACTGAAATCAGGGAATCTCATTTGACATTCCGAAACTTACTCCAAACCAATATTGATGAACATCCAAAATTCACATGTGGTCATAAAACACTTTATTTTCGTTGATCATGTTTTGCCCACTAACTATAGATATTGTTTAGTAATACAATACCATATCATCCGGTCAGGACTTGGAATAAGAGGTTGTATTGACAGAGAAGATAATAAACTGTTTACTGAAGTGCAAACTTTTATTAAAATTTCAAAACATTTTAACAAAATTACAATCTAAACTATATATGTTCCCTGTGTAAAACAAATCGCTGGTGCGTTGGTCGGGTATTGGTAGTCTTACAATCTACCTAAATCATGTGAATTATGTAACTTTAATTTTGCAAGGACTTTGCAGTATTTAAGAACATCTATAATAAAATGGTATCAATGTTTTATTTCGTCTATAGAAAAATTACAAAATATATGTTGTTTGTCAGTTAAACATAGAAATATTCATAATGCAATGATGTAGCACTTGGAACAGCAATTACATCATTTTGGTTAACCTTAACCATACAATATAAAATTGCAAGGTATCACTCTTTAACAATTTGACAAAGCTTATCAAGATAAAAGTGAAATAATAATAACATTAAAATAAAAAATACTTTTTTATTCAAATTCGTATCAAAAATACAATAGTATCGAGGAAATGTTTAATTAAACAAATTATTTGATAATAATACTCTTAAACTCTGTAAATAGTATATAAGTTCTAAAATGGTAAAGGTACTTCTTAAACCTATATTAATAAGCATTTAAACTGGTTTCTTGAACGTATAATAATTATACTAAACTGCAAACATAAACAATCATATTCAATGCCATTCAAGTTGCATGTAAAAAGCGGAATAGTAAAAGGAAGAGATTTAACAACAAAAACTAACAGTCGAACACCGCTGGCAGATTTTTATTGAGTTTTACTATGAAAGATCGTGAAAGTGCAACATCTCTCACGCCCATGGCTTAGACGGGGCGGTTTTCAGTCCTGCAAACTAACAAAGGTATTGGAATCTATAAAGACACAAGTCCAGAAAATATGAACACCAAGAAAAGTACGGAATCATTAATAATTGCCACCCAGCTTTGATCACTTACAGTTGTGAAAATGAAAAGTCTGGAAAGTGAAAGTCTAAATATTACATCAAAACAACATTTATCACAAAACATATTTTATTATTTTTACTTTTTTATCGTCGAGTACAAAACAGAACAGAACTATTCATAATTAAGAATTAAAATAATATCCATTTACATGCAATTGAACAAAAGCCAAAATATAGACATAAAGTTAAAATAGAGTTAAAATAAAATGCAAGTTTCAAATGCTCAGTTATACGAGTGTCAATACGTACAGATTAACAAATATGTATTATATAATACAATAAAAAGATGATCCATATATCTTTTAAACTTTACATTTATTTGATCGTTGCAAAGTTTTAATAAATGAAAATAAATATCTTTCAAAAAAATATCTCGTGATTGTAAAGAAACTCAATTCAGGTCAAAGATACTGTAAAGTTGTAAACATAAAATTTTCATTTTTTACATACTCACTTAAAACGAGGAAAGATGCAAGTTAATGATAATATACTCAAAATTAAATTAAAAATCGTACTTTTGTGCTTTTCTTGGTCCAATTTGAATTAAAAGCTCTTAAGCGCTTTTCATTGTTTGCGATGTTTTAGAATTCTGGAAAACAGAGTGAGCGAACTGAAATTTTGCACGCCAAATTATTGGTCCAGTCAAATGGCAAATGGTCAACAAATCACAAAAAAGTATTTCCCGTCAAGTTATGTCACCAAAACACCGCACTGAAGTCCTTGTAAATTCGAAGCGTTTAAGTTTCAAAAGCTCATTTTATAATGACCTCGTTTCTTTTCCAGTTCAGCCCTTGTATACATTTCTTTCTAGATCATTATAAACGATGCCATCGTGTTCGACAGAGATATGAATTTTTGCAAGTACATAAATTCTCATACATGTTTCTTAAATTGTAGGAAACAAACGGTGCGATCGTGTCCGAGAATGATGTTAATTTCTAAAAAATATGCGCACTGACATATGTATCTGGCTATTTTAACAGCCGAAAAATAAAACAATAGTAAGAAGCAACAAATATAACTTTACTAAATCTGTTCTATCAAAAGATAAAATATATTAATATAGTAACTAAACAGGGACACACGTATCAAGTAACCATTATGGAAGGACGTTTAATTGTGTTTTGGATTTTTTCTGATTGACTTAAAGGCGACTCAAAAAGATTTCTTGAATATTTTGTTGTATTTTTCCCTTTTCAAATTAAAATGAAACTTTTCTTTAAACATCTATATGTATATATTATATATATTTTTTATTATTTGAAATTTATATTTTTTTACATATTTTTTTTGTACAACTTTTTTTCATAAATTTGAAATCCAATATATTTTTTCCCTGCCATATGCTACATTTTTGCACCAAGTGACCCGTATGTGTGAACGTATTGCCATAATAAATGTTCGATATAATTACTCATTAAGTGGCGATATTTGATTTGCAACCATAGTGTGTAAATGTACTTTTTAAAACCTTTCAATGTTTGATAATTTTTCAGAACCTAGTTTATATTCAGGGAAAACAACTAGAAAGTAAGATACAAATGGATGTTGATGTTATCTGCAAAATAACAGAAACATGGAAAAAAACACCAAAGTATATTTTTTGTGAAAATCATTATTATACTAATTGACATGCCATTAAAAATAAGATAAAATAAAATAAATAAATAAATAAATAATGATTGAAAAGGGAGAACCCTAGAGAACAATGAAATCATAAACAAATAATTAATAATTGCATATTAGATTTTATCTAGCATGTTCACAGGAGATGATGGAGCATCTCTCATCGTTTAGTTGGTCACTAAAAAAACAATGATCCCAAAGGATGAAAAGATATAACAACACAATTTTAGAAATATTTAATGTTTAGTCCTTGCATGATTAAACTGAATTAAAATATAACAACAATCGTTTTGAATATTGAGTGAAACGGGCGATTTCATAATTAAACTGAATAAAAAAGATAACAACAATAAAATGAAAAAAAAATAGCATTGATTGTTAAGTCCATGCAATTTTGTATGCATGCATAATTATTTACAAAGCTCATTTTGAATCAATGTTTTAAACATATCCTTACATTGAACGTTGTCTAACTTTATTAATAGTTTATAGGCCTTACAAAACATTGACGAACATAATTATTGCCGGCATCTACAAACAAATGTTATTTCAAAAAGTTAAAAAACCAAACCATATATATGCTTCAGTGTCTACACCTATTTGACGATAGCTCCATCAAGAATGACCATACGTCAGTGCAGATGAAAAAACAATGTCTGAAATGAAATATACAAACAATTATTTAAAGAATATCATACACATTCATGTATCATTAATGATAACTATAATTGGTTAGTAAAAAAATGATAGTTTTGTTTAATTAATAGATGATTAAAATAAAACATTGTTATATGAATTAAATGTTGTTGTTTCTTTGCTCGACAAATGTCAATTATTTCCACTAAGGCTTTAATCTTTCACCTGTTGCCGTCATTGAAATCATAAAAACAATTAAACATCAATGACTTAGCTTCACTTATGATCTTATTAGTATAGGTTAATACAGGTCATGCTATTTTACATTTTAATAGCTTGTATCTAAGATTATAAATACATACTTTACATATCCCTTTCTTTGATCACACCTTTAATATTTTGCCATAAAGCGACACGAAAATGTAGTTAATATGTAAGTTAAATGTTTTATGTGTAACTTTATGTGTAATTTTGTATTGTTGGTTAATTGCTTAATATGGTGTAAAATAAGGGGTCATCCAAAAGAGAAAAAAAATTGACAAAATAAAAACAACAAAATTTTAATTTGTAGTTCCTTTCATTTTGTTTTTTGTTTTATTGTAGCATATTTTCTTTAAATAAGATACATGGCTATAATTTCTACAGTAATGCTGAACGAAACTGGACTAAGACTTGATTAACATTTTCAACTATGTTTGCTCTCGTCTATAATAAGCAATGAACATAATTGCCCGAATAAGTACACACAGACAAACACATAATACAAGCGCAACTGAAAAGAGTTCTAGTATGTAGTTATGTTTGTAATATTCGTTGTTTAAAGACATCAAAGCAAGAATTCATATCTACACCGATATTGTTTACCCTCATGTTACCCAAACTGCGATTTCAAGTCAGGTCAATTGCATTTTTTAGATCAGAAACAAAAACAAATAATTGAAAATATCCTACTCGGTTTTATTGAGTCTATTCATGAGAGGCTATGAAAAGAGGAATATCTCTTACACTCTCATAAACAATTATCTTCACACGAATGTTAATAATTATTGTTGTATGTGTTTAAAAGTCCATTCTTATAATAAGCAAAACAATATGAGTAAAGAAAAAATGCTAAAATGTTCAAGCCTTACATTTAGGTTTTAGATCATGATGTGGATAAAAAATATAATGCACGGTTTCACAACATTTTTACCAGCCCTTTGAAAGTAATTATGGGTCACATGACCAATATTTCCTGAACTTATGACTATATAAGAGACTAAAACACTGAGACGGAGCAGAACCACTGAAACCCTAAGACCTCGCATCACTTCCACAAGTCTTTCGAATGTAAGTAATACATTTTTTCTTGCTTTGATTTCGTGACTTAAGTAAAAATAATTCAAATTATTTCAGCTTAGAGTAAAATGTTTTGTAGTTCAAATGATGATCATAATTTATTTTCGTGTTCTTAGGTCTTTGATAATTTGTAGTTTTCAATATATTTACATTTTTATTTATATGAATCTATTGATGCACATGCAAGCTATGAAAATTGTACAGACGACGCTTATATTCAGTAAAAAATATGAATGCCTAATTCATGGATCATGCAGGATAGAGTCCCCTTTGCCATAGTTTCTAGCGATAATTGAAAGATAGACATTGAATTTTAGTAATAAATGTAAATAAAAAACATTCAAGTTTAATTTAATAAATACGTTAATTGTCAGAAATATACTTTATAAACTAACATTTCTTGTAATACTGACAAATATTCATTTGCTTTCTCCTTTTGCAGAACTGATCAAAATGAACGCAGTTAAAGTCATGATGATCTCCGCCTTGCTGGCATTGACCAATGCATACAGAGGTAAGAACAATATTGAAATAAAATAACACGATCTTAAGCATAAAGCCAAAATTTAAAAATAAGTATTAAACATTTATCAAAACGAAAATATATCTAAATAAAAAACAATATTGATTTAAGTTATGTAACGAAATGCGTAAAACACCATTTTAATAGCCTGCACGTTTAATGTACATATTGCATACTTTTTTGACAAGGAATCTAACCTACAATGATCTTTACTCCTTTTGTTGAATATAATTATTTTAGTACAAAAACTGATATTATATGCCCCATTATTTGGACTGTAAAATAATTATCAAGAAGAACACTTGATTAAGTGATATGAACAATTTAATAATGCAAAGTATAATACAGGTGGTGGCGGTCGCGGCGGCATGATGATGCCTATGGGCGGCGGTGGAATGGGTGAGTACGATTTTGTTTTACTCTCAAATGAAGAATATTAAATATGAAGACTTGAACATTAAATGAATGAACAAAAATTAAATATTATTATGTAATCTATTTTTATTTCAAAAGTGAATGACCCGCTAAATATAAGTACAATAAACTAATATTATAGAATTTGATTGAATAAAATTTAAATTATAAAAATGAATAAAATTTGAATTTAATTATTCCAGGTGGTATGGGTGGAGGTATGCCGATGGGCGGTGGTAAAAATGGAGGCGGCATGGGAGGTATGTAGTCATGTTTCTCAAAACTTAAAATTTGATAAAAAGTGTGAAATATCTAATGAACACCTGTGTTGAGTGAAAATTGAATGATGTATCTTATATGAATAGGAATGCAGATGCCGATGCCGATGCCAATGCCTATGCCAATGCCAATGCCAATGCCAATGCCGATGCCAAGACCAATGCCCAAAGCTATGCCAAGACCTATGCCAATGCCAATGCCGATGCCCATGCCTATGCCAATGCCCATGCCGATGCCGATGCCAATGGGCGGAAAAGGAGGCAAGTCATATTTGTTAATCAAGATAATACAGATAATATGTTTTAAGCCTAGAAAAGTATATTTTATTTTCATTCAATATAGTTAATAGCATTCGTAATTATAGATATTAAGCAAAACTATAATCATTACTGATGAATAATAATAGATTTATGCAATGTTCATCCCAGGTATGGGTGGTGGTATGCCAATGATGCCAATGAACGGTGGTATGGGAGGTGGTATGCCAATGGGTGGTGGAATGAACGGTGGTATGCCAATGGGAGGCGGTAAAGGAGGAATGGGCGGTGGAATGATGATGCCAATGGGAGGTGGAATGGGAGGTGGTATGCCAATGGGAGGTGGAATGGGCGGTGGTATGCCAATGGGAGGCGGCAAAGGAGGAATGGGCGGTGGAATGGGTGCTGGTATGCCAATGGGCGGTGGAATGGGCGGCGGTATGCCAATGGGTGGTGGAATGGGCGGTGGTATGCCAATGGGAGGCGGCAAAGGAGGAATGGGCGGTGGAATGATGATGCCAATGGGAGGTGGAATGGGAGGCGGTATGCCAATGGGAGGTAATATATTTTATATAACATATTATATCTCTTTGTTCAATAAAAACGAAAGATCTTGAATATTAAAACATAATTTCGTTATGATGGTTCAGAACAAGAATCTCCTTTTACGTTTTGAAAATATGATTATTATTTTTTAAGATTTTTGCGAAGATCTTCTATGACATTCATTTTAAAATTGTTTATTTCATGCCTGGAATAAGTTAAAATTAAAAAAAAATACATCAACTTAAAATGTTTTATCACATTATGAAACCTTGGTAAAGTAATGCCTATTTATTTCAACCTTGTTTACTCTAACAGGTAGAAAGTATTAAAAAATTCCGACTGGATGACAATACCTGACTTTGCCATGGATTTTGACGATGCTACAATCAGAAATATAACGTGTCAATCGTGATGTGTATTCACACCGGCGAGTTCTCGGATAACAGCACCAGTATATCAAATTAATGAACACTTTTATCTACACGTATAAGAAGAAGTAAACTTGAAAATCAGACTGTAAATGGTGTACATTGATTACTATGTAGTCAAGAGACATTGTGCATCTATAGCTAACTGATATTAACTAAAAACCAAAATAGATCTGCTTATTCGTTTCATATACTGAGATTAATGTGTCATGCATTTTCACCTATGTTCTCGTCTTTTTGTGTTGTACATATTGGAGTTATGATAATAAAATGCATTTTGAAAAACAACGTTGTTTATCGTTTTTAGTTACCAATGCAAGTTAAGTAATTATATATATAGTATGGTATGAATTATTCGATATGTACAGAAAAAAGATATACCAGAATGACATCAGAAACATCAAATTCTATTCCTAATTAGCATTTTGAATAAGCTTAAAAGATATTTGACTTTGTAGTTAGAAGAGTATATGTTTATATACCTGCTTATAGACCTGCATATGGATGGTATGCTGTTCGTTATATTAGTTTATGTAAGAAATATAAACAATGCCATATGATATAAACTCTTTACCAGACCTTTTAATAGAAAAAATGGATTGCTGTAAAGGAATGTATTTTCACCTTTACTTTTTCAATGTCGCAACGATGCATTCCGAATAAAGTATCAGTGTACACATTACACTGTTTCCGTTGTTTACAGATATATTACTTTACTTGTTTGCCAGCTTCATCTTTGGTCAATTGAAGATACGCTTCTTTTATTGCAGAAAATTATCGAAATATAGGAAATATTCTTTCTGAATATGTCTAACTGCACAAGCTATGCTTGGAAACCTGCTTTCCCACTTTCCCTATAACTGGCCGAGTCAATTTTGTCCTTCCTTAGAAAAAACCCTGAAAGTTTGTTTTTATAATGACAAGATGTATTTGTACCATGTTTACTAAAAGTGTTTATAAAACATAGCATATCTTTTCTCTGTGTACTCAAAATATGTTCATTTTACATTTAATAAACGAATGTGTAGAAAGCAATATTTTCAAATATGAAATTTAAGCATAGTTTTTCTAAAGTTTACTTATTTCATATTATTGAGAGGCATTATGAATTTGGAATATTAATGTATATTTAATAGAGTGTCTATAAAGAGTTTATAAGAATTAATTTCCGAAATGCATTTGATTAGGAGTGGAGATTTCACCGAATGTCCTTTAAGTTATGAAATGCTGTTGTTACCAAATTGCATGATATTTGAAACATTATTAAAACTTTCGTTGTTTTTTTTTGTTTTGTTTCTATTTTCAAAATTATTAAACTTGTCAAGATAAAAGTAAGTATGCACAATAAACATTTCTTTAGAGCAAGTATACACATATCCATTTTATATGACAAATACGCTAAAATTCCATAACATAAAAGATAGCATCCATTACAAAAATCTGGAGAAAGTGTGATCCCTCCGAAGCATTAATCGCAACAAAATTACATAAAAAATGCAGACTCGGTTTGATTGAGTCTGTACATAAGGGATCATGAAAAGGTGTTACATCCCTGATGCCCTCTAGCACCGGCTTGAGCGGTTCTCATTTTTCAAGAGCGGTACTCACTTATCAACACATAAAAGTCCTGGAATCAATGATCCCGAAGGACCAGAAAAATATAATAACACTAAAGTAAAGCACGGGGCAACTTTTTACAGCTGCCACACAACACTTGACACCTGCTGTTATGAAGTAAAAAAATCTGGACGACCATGATTAAAGCATATGTTCACGACTTATTTTCATCCCGAACAGATGGGATTACATTGTATCTCCATTGAAAAGAGAAGTGCAAGGGACGAAATACTTTTTCATTTCTCACATAAAGCCACGGTCTCAGATAAGTTATCATAACGTATCACTAAATTGTAAGCTTAAATGATTGATAGACGGATAACATCTTACTTGATACGGATCTTCTTCCAAAAGTCGATAGCAATAAACAAATCAATACTTTGAAAAGAGAATCTATCTTGAAGTATGCGGAATATTTTAAAGAATTTCCTTTCGAACATTATCTTCAAACAAATAATACTTGACGATTGAGTTAACAGATGGAGAGGTAGAAATAATGACATTTTGATAAGTTGATATGACATAAAATCTATCTTATAAATAACATTTTCAACTTTAAAAAATATTTTTTAAAAGTAAAAATTTACAGAAATCAAAAAACTTTTTCCCTGTAGCTTTAGTTTTTAAATGATGATACATTTGGACGGTAATTTAAAAAGTGTGAAAAAATTGACTGAGTACTGCTTTGTGCAATTGGCACACTTAAGCCTCTTTGAATGGGGAGACTAGTGTTACTCTTTTTTATTGCCCATCACAAATTTTCACTTACTTATATTTTCTAATTCTTTTAAATGGAATTCTTAAGGTTTATTGAACAATGATTGCCCTTTTAAAGTTTGTGTTCGTTTGACGCAATTAGACCTAATTTTGGACCTTATTTTCCAGTATGAAAGTGGTTTACAAGAAGAAAAATGTCTCTAACACTGCTTTTAGCTGTCAAATTTAAATGAAGATAGTCTCTTGAATTGTCAGTTTTAGTGATGATAATTTATTTAAAATGATATTATTTCAGATCCATAATTTTCGATAGGCGTAATTCAGGTTTCATTTATCCTTTATGCTCAGTTCTTCTGCAAAGACAACAACAAGAAAAGGCTGTCCTTGTTATGAACAATTGGCTATATATCCTCTATTTTCGAGAACATGCTGTTAGGGTGAATAAACAAGAACATAAAGACTTAAAACATCTTTTATTATTGAAAGTAAACTACAAAATGTCGTTCAAAATATTGTTTCAATTCGTAATACAAAACTGACAATTTTAAACAAGTCTCCGTTTTGTTCATTTTGAGTGAAAAATAACTATATGAAAAGAAAAAAGTATAAATTGAAACAAAAATAAATAAAAGCCAATTAAAAGTTGATTCATAATCAATAACGTTAATTGATTTTGTATATGAAAAGCTTAATTGCCATACGCGAATTTGTAATAACCTCCATAAAACTCATACCAAATTATTTTTTTTGAAGGATATATTCTTATTTCATCAACAAATTAAGAAATAAGACGAAAATCTAATCAGGATTTGTACAATATTTGGTGATTATACGTCAAAATACTATGATCCTAATTGTAACATTCCGAAAACATCAATAAAATTTATGAAAAAAAATTAAAAAACCAGCATCTCACCTATTCACATATATCCATTTGTGTGGTGATAATGAATGCAATGAATTGTTTCTTCAACAATTTTGCTGACACGGTTACCGTTTGCGATGTGCGATGTACTATGTGCGATCATTAAATGTAAATTTTACATATCCCATTCTTTGATCACTGCTCACAGAGTGTTTAATGTTACTGACACTTTATTGTAACAAGTATGTAAGTTAAATGTTGTATGTATCAAAACATGCAAAGTTACCATAACTTTTTTAACCAGGCCTTGTTTCGTTAAACAAATATTTCCTGCATAAAAATATATTTCGGCTATATAAAGGAGAAAATCGCGACACTTAACAGTACTCCTCGTCCACCCAGACCACACAGCACATCCACAAATATTTCAAATGTAAGTACAATGATTTTGATTCTTTTGGTCTTTAATTATCGCGTTTGTTTATTCTAGAGTTACTTAATTTTGCATAGAAAGCAAATTTATTCCTCACATGACAATTGGCCTGAACTTATGGCTATATAAGGGGTACAATATTGTGACGAAGCATTACCCTTGGAACAAATTTCAGACTTCGCATCATTTCTTAAAGTCTTCCGAATGTAAGAAAAAACAGTTTGTCTTGATTTATTTTCGTGACTTAAGTATGAATATTTCAAATTATTGCAGCAGTTTATAGTGATAAGTTTTGCAGTTTAACTGCTTGTCATGTTTTATTTTTTTGATCTTATTACCGATAATAATCAAAGCACAGAAGGCGCTGAATTTGTTTGGGTCTCAGAATGTCAGAAAGGTGAAAGTTGTGAGATTATAAACCAATTTGTTTTTGTATAGTGCCACCAATGCTTTCCAGTGTTTTAACTGTAGTTAATTGGCTATAAGACTAATTGCAACACTGATAGTTAATTTAATGTTTATTTCACTAAAAAAATGTATAAAAAAATGAGTTGCCTCAACTGGGATTTGAACTCCAGAATTCTCTATTAATAAGCGAGCGTGCAAACCCCTCGGCCACGGTGAAGTTATATATAATAACTATCTGAAGAAAACCATATTATTCTAAATTAGGGTTTGTACCTCTTATTATTTCGACGCTAAACCAGTTGTTTAACACAGATGTAAATAATCATGGAGCTTACTGTAAGCATGTATATCTACAAAGAATGAAACAATATTAGAAATCTTTGACCATTCGGGAACTACTTTGCTTGAAAATTAATGCGCCTGTCATTTGACAATCTTTACGCATTGATCTCCCCTGAATATTTCGGCGTTAGTGTACATATAAAGGGAAGTAACCACTTCAAAAAAGTGGACTACTTTAGGCATTTGCAATTAACAGCATTTGGCTCTGAAATTTCGCTACCATTATTTGTTTGGTCTGACGACCCAAACAAATAAAAATAATTGTAGGAAAATATCAGCACTTTACATATACATGTATGTAATTTGTAGTTTTCAGTAAATTTATATAAACTTATTAATGCACATGCAAGCAATTAAAAAAATTACAGACGATGCTTACATTCTGTAAATATGAATGCTTAATTCGTAGCTCATGCGTAAAAAGGTAACAGGATAGAGCCCTCTTTTGGTAAAAGTTCTGGCGATAATTGATAGATAGCCATTGAATTCTATTAATAAAACAAATTAAAAACATTCAAGTTTAATTGAGTAAATACGTTAATTGTCAGACATATACTTTATAAACTAACATTTCTTGTAATACTGCAAATAAACAACTGTTTTCCTTTTGTTTGCAGAACTGATCAAAATGAACCCACTTCAAGTCATGCTGATCTCCGCCTTGCTGGCATTAACCAATGCATATAGAGGTAAGAACAAATTATGAAATTAAATTACACCATCTTAAATCTAAATATAAATATTGAAATTTATCAAAACCAATATATCATATCTGAAAAAAAAACAACACGATATTGGTTTTAGTTCCGTAACGAATGTGTAAAACAATATTTTAATTGTTTGCATGTTACATACTTTTTCAACTAGGAATCTAATATACAACTATTTTTACTCCCTTTGTTAGATATAATTCTTTTAGTACAAAAACTGATATTGTATGCCCCGTTATTTTGGATTGTAAAAAAATATCAAAAAGAACACTTGATTAAGTGATATAAACAATTTAATAATGCAATGTACCTTTGTAATACAGGTGGCGGCGGTGGCGGCGGCATGATGATGCCTATGGGCGGCGGTGGAATGGGTGAGTACGATTTTGTTTTACTCTCAAACGAAGAATATTAAATATGAAGACTTGAACATTAAATGAATGAACAAAAATTAAATATGTTAAAAATGTAATCTATTTTTATTTCAAAAGTGAATGACCCGCTAAATATAAGTACAATAAACTACTATTATAGAATTTGATTAAATAAAATTTAAATTATAAAAATTAATACAATTTTAATTTAATTATTCCAGGTGGTATGGGTATTGGTGGAGGTATGCCGATGGGCGGTGGTAAAAATGGAGGCGGCATGGGAGGTATGTAGTCATGTTTCTCAAAACTTAAAATTTGATAAAAAATGTGAAATATCTAATGAATACCAGTGGTGATTGAAAATTGAATGATGTATTTTATATGAATAGGAATGCAGATGCCAATGCCAATGCCAATGCCTATGCCAATGCCAATGCCGATGCCAAGACCAATGCCCAAAGCTATGCCAAGACCTATGCCAATGCCAATGCCCATGCCTATGCCAATGCCGATGCCGATGCCAATGGGCGGAAAAGGAGGCAAGTCATATTTGTTAATCAAGATAATACAGATAATATGTTTTAAGCCTAGAAAAGTATAAAATTATTTTCATTCAATAAAGTTAATAACATTCGTAATTATAGATATAAAGCAAAAGTATAATCATTACTTGAATAATAATAATAGATTTATGCAATGTTAATCCCAGGTATGGGTGGTGGTATGCCAATGATGCCAATGAACGGTGGTATGGGAGGTGGTATGCCAATGGGTGGTGGAATGAACGGTGGTATGCCAATGGGAGGCGGTAACGGAGGAATGGGCGGTGGAATGATGATGCCAATGGGAGGTGGAATGGGAGGTGGTATGCCAATAGGAGGTGGAATGGGCGGTGGTATGCCAATGGGAGGCGGCAAAGGAGGAATGGGCGGTGGAATGGGCGGTGGTATGCCAATGGGCGGTGGAATGGGCGGTGGTATGCCAATGGGTGGGTGGAATGGGCGGTGGTATGCCAATGGGTGGTGGAATGGGCGTGGTATGCCAATGGAGGCGGCAAAGGAGGAATGGGCGGTGGAATGATGATGATGCCAATGGGAGGTGGAATGGGAGGCGGTATGCCAATGGGAGGTAATATATTTTATATAACATATTATATCTCTTTGTTCAATAAAAACGAAATAACTTAAATATTAAAACATAATTTCGTTATGATGGTTCAGAACAATAATCTCCTTTTACGTTTTGAAAATATGATTATTATTTTTTAAGATTTTTGCGAAGATCTTCTATAACATTCATTTTAAAATTGTTTATTTCATGCCTGGAATAAGTTCAAATTAAAAAAAATACATCAACTTAAAATGTTTTATCACATTATGAAACCTTTGTAAAATAATGCCTATTTATTTCAACCTTGTTTACTCTAACAGGTAGAAAGTATTAAACAATTCCGACGGGATGACAAGACTTGACTTTGCCATGGATTTTGACGATGCTACAATCAGAAATATAACGTGTCAATCATGATGTGTATTCACACCGGCGAGTTCTCGGATGACAGCACCAGTATATCAATTTAATGAACAATTTTATCGAAGTTAATTTGAAAATCAGACACTAAATGGTGTACATTGATTACTATGTAGTCAAGAGACATTGTGCATCTATAGCTAATTGATATTAACTAAAAACCAAAATAGATCTGATTATTCGTTTAATGTACTGAGATTAATGTGTCATGCATTTTAACCTATGTTCTCGTCTTTTTGTGTTGTACATATTGGAGTTATGATAATAAAATGCATTTTGAAAAACAATGAAGTTTATCGTTTTTAGGTACCAATGAAAGTTAAGTAATTATATATATAAAGTATGGTGTGAATTATTCGATATGTAGAAAAATAAGGATAGAGTGACATCAGAAACATCAAATTCTATTCCGTAACTTGTATTTTGAATAGGCTTAAAAGATATTTTACTTTGTAGTTAGAATAGTATATGTTTATATCAAAGGCTTATAGACCTGCATATGGATGTTATGCTGTTCGTTATATTAGTTGATGTAAGTAAAATAAACAATCCCATATGATATAAACTCTTTACCAGACCTTTTAATAGAAAAAAAATGGATTGCTGTAAAGGAATGTATTTTCACCTTTACTTTTTCAATGTCGCAACGATGCATTCCGAATAAAGTATCAGTGTACACATTACACTGTTTCCGATATATTACTTTACTTGTTTGCCGGCTTCATCTTTGGTCAATTGAAGATACGCTTCTTTTATTGCAGAAATTTATCGAAATATAGGAAATATTCTTTCTGAATATGTCTAACTGCACAAGCTATGCTTGGAAAGCTGCTTTCCCACTTTCCCTATAACTGGCCGAGTCAATTTTGTCCTTCCTTAGAAAAAACCCTGCAAGTTTGTTTTTATAATGACAAAATGTATTTGTACCATGTTTACTAAAAGTGTTTTTAAAACATAACATATCTTTTCTCTGTGTACTCAAAATATGTTCATTTTACATTTAATAAACGAATTTGTAGAAAGCAATATTTTCAAATATGAAATTTAAGCATAGTTTTTCTAAAGTTTACTTATTTCATATTATTGAGAGGCATTATGAATTTGGAATATTAATGTATATTTAATAGAGTGTCTATAAAGAGTGCATATCAGATAATTGATTGAAATTAAAGTTTATAAGAATTAATTTCCGAAATGCATTGGATTAGGAGTGGAGATTTCACCGAATGTCCTTTAAGTCGTGAAATGCTGTTTTTACCAAATTGCATGATATTTGAAACATTATTAAAACTTTCGTTTTTGTTTTTTTTTTGTTTTGTTTCTATTTTCAAAATTAGTAAACTTGTCAAGATAAAAGTAAGTATGCGCAATAAACATTTCTTTAGAGCAATTATACACATATCCATTTTACATGACAAATACTCTAAAATGCCATAAAATAAAAAGATAGCCTCCATTAAAAAAACTGGAGAAAGTGTGATACCTCAGAAGCATTAATCACAACAAATTTCATGAAAAATGCAGTTTGATTGAGTCTGTACATGAGGGATAATGGAAAGGTGCAACATCTCTGATGCCCTCCAGTACCGGCTTAAGCGGTACTCATTTTTTAAGAGCAGTACTCACTTTTCAACACTTAAAAGGGCTGGAATCAATGATCCCGAAGGACAAAGAAAATAAAGCAACACTAAAGTAAAGTACAGGGCAACTTTTTATAGTTGACACCTGCTGTTATGAAGTAAAAAAATCTGGACGACCATGATTAAAGCATATGGTCACGACTTATTTTTATCCCGAACAGATGGGATTACATTGTATCTCCATGGAAAAGAGAAGAGCAAGGGACGAAATACTTTTTCATTTCTCACATAAAGCCACGGTCTCGGATGGGTTATCATAACGTATCACTAAATTGTAAGCTTAAATGATTGATAGACGGATAACATCTTACTTGATACGGATCTTCTTCCAAAAGTCGATAGCAATAAACAAATCAATACTTTGAAAAGAGAATCTATCTTGAAGTATGCGGAATATTTTAAAGAATTTCCTTTCGAACATTATCTTCGAACAAATAATACTTGACGATTGAGTTAACAGAAGTAGAGGTAGAAATAATGACATTTTGAAAGTTGATATGACATAAAATCCATCTATAAATAACATTTTCAACTTTAAAAGTATTTTGTAAATGTAAAATGTCACAGTAATCAAAACACTTTCCGTGTAGCTTTAGTTATAAATGATTGATACATTGGACGGATAATTTTAATATTGTGAATAAATTGAACAGTGAGTACTGCTTATGTGCAATTGGTACAACTTAAGCCTCTTTGAATGGGTATGACTATGTGTTACTCTTTTGATTGCCGAGTCAGCAATTTTCACTTACTTACTATTATTGCTAATTGCTTTCAAAGGACTAACGCATAAGGATAATGAATTTTCTTAAGGATATATTGAACAATGATTGCCCTTTTAAAGTTTGTGTTCGTTTGACGCAATTAGACCTAATTTTGGACCTTATTTTCCAGTATGAAAGTGGTTTACAAGAAGAAAAATGTCTCTAACACTGCTTTTACACTGCTTTTAGATATTACGTCAGATCCATAATTTTCGATAGGCGTAATTCAGGTTTCATTTATCCTTTATGCTCAGTTCTTCTGCAAAGACAACAACAAAAAAGCTGTCCTTGTTATGAACAACTGGCTATATATCCTCTATTATCGAGGACATGCTGTTAGGGTGAATAAACAAGAACATAAAGACTTAAAACATTTTTTATTATTGAAAGTAAACTACAAAATGTCGTTCAAAAGATGTTTAAAATATTGTTTCAATTCGTAATACTTAACTGACTATTTTCAACAAGTCTCCGTTTTGTTCATTTCGAGTGAAAAAAAACTATCTGAAAAGAAAAAAGTATAAATTGAAACAAAAATAAATAAAAGCCAATTAAAAGTTGATTCATAATCAATAACGTTAATTGATTTTGTATATAAAAAGACATATTAATTGCCATACGCGAATTTGTAATAACCTTCATAAAACTCATACCAAATTATTTTTTTTGAAGGATATATTCTTATTTCATCAACAAATTAAGAAATAAGACGAAAATCTAATCAGGATTTGTACAATATTTGGTGATTATACGTCAAAATACTATGATCCTAATTGTAACAAATCGAAAACATCAATAAAATTCATTTAACAATTTCGAAAACCAGCATCTCACCTATTCACATATATCCATTTGTGTGGTGATAATGAATGCAATGAAATGTTTCTTCAACAATTTTGCTGACACGGTTACCGTTTAAAAGGAAATTACTGCCGTACTATGTGCGATCATTAAATGTAAATTTTACACATCCCATTCTTTGATCACTGCTCACAGACTGTTTAATGTTACTGACACTTTATTGTAACAAGTATGTTAGTTAAATGTTGTATGTATCAAAACATGCAAAGTTACCATAACTTTTTTAACCAGGCCTTGTTTCGTTAAACAAATATTTCCTGCATATAAAATATATTTCGGCTATATAAAGGAGAAAATCGCGACACTTAACAGTACTCCTCGTCCACCCAGACCACACAGCACATCCACAAATATTTCAAATGTAAGTACAATGATTTTGATTCTTTTGGTCTTTATTTATTGCGTTTGTTTATTCTAGAGTTACTTAATTTTGCATAGAAAGGAAATTTATACCTCACATGACCGTGGTTCTGAACTTATGACTATAATAGAGAGAATTATTAAACTATTGAGACTGAACATTACCACTGGAACATTCAGACCTCGCATCTTTCGAATGTAAGTAATACAATTTTGCTTCTTTTATTTTTATGATTTAAGCATAAATAATTCCATACAAATTGTTGCAAGTTTAGGAAAAAACCCATAGTGCTTTACATACAAACATAAGTAATTTGTAGTTAAGTTGGCAAATTTGAATGTAATAATGCAATCGTTACAGAAGATGCTTTTACTTTGAAAATATAGATGGCTCATGTGCATGTTTTCAAAACTAAAAAATCGAAGGATAAACCTTTTTTGGGCAA